GCAGTTCCTGGAGGATGAAGGAATTGATACCATTGAATGGCCCCCACGCTCGCCTGACCTAAATCCAATAGAACACCTCTGGGACATAATGTTTTGGTCCAACGGACGCCGCCAGGTTGCACCTCAGACTGTCCAGGAGCTCAGTGATGCCCTGGTCCAGATCTGGGAGGAAATACCCCAGGACACCATCCGTCGTCTCATTAGGAGCAGTCTGACGTTGTCAGGTATGCATACAAGCACGTGGGGGCCATACAAAATACTGAGTACTATTCTGAGTTGCTGCAATGAAATTTGAAGTCTTTGAATTCAGCCCTCTTTAGGTTGATAATTTTCATTTCCATCAAACGATGTGGCATCCTTTTGTTCCTAACACATTACCCAGTCCATATCAGTATAGATATCCAGCATGATATTTTCTCCCATTGAGATCTGATGTGTTTTCAAAGTGTTCCTTTAATTTCTTTGAGCAGTGTATATATATATATATATATATATATATATATATATATATATATATATATATATATATATATATATATATATATATTTTTTTTTTTTTTTTTTGAAAGATGAGCTTCCCCGTTTGCCACAAAAAAGAGGCTATAATGAGTAAGGGCAGCAGTGTGGGGATGTGATCTAAGAGAGAGTTGTGTAGACAACGGATGTGCAGTCTGAGCAGGAAAGTGATCCCCCCCTCAAAACCCATGAGCATTGCAGTGAATTGAAAAGGCAGCGTGTCTTTGTCAACCATAGGCTGGTAACTAATGAACAATATTAAATTATAATATATTACACTAAATTATAAATTGCTTCTGGCTTTAAGAACAATTCTTTCAGCATCTATATTAGCAAAAATATATTAGCATGGACAACAATTTAATCTTTTTACCATTAATTTTGCTGCTTAAGGTTTGTTAGCACTGGTGTTGCCTACTGTTGCCTAGTCGAAAGTGAAAGTGAAGTGACGTGGCCAAATATGGTGACCCCTGCTCGGAATTTGTGCTCTGCATTTAACCCATCCAAGTACACACACACAGTAGTGAACACACACACACACACACACCATGAACACACACCCGGAGCAGTGGGCAGCCTTTATTTTTGTTGCAGTGCCCAGGGAGCAGTTGGGGATTCTGTGCCTTGGTCAAGGGTCTCACTTCAGTCGGGGTATTGAGGGTGGAAGAGAGCGCTGGTCATTCACTCCCCCCACCTACAACGCCCGCCGGACCTGAGACTCCAACCCACGACCTTCACCTTCGGGTTACAACTCTGACTCTCTAACCATTAGGCCACAACTGCCCCCCCCCCCCCCCCCCCCCCTTTTTTTTTTTTTGAAGTCAATGAAGTTGTCACTTAAGATGGTTCTTTCTTATTTAGACCAATGGATTTTTTTCATTATATTTACTAGATTTAACAATATTTTTCAAAACCTGCCATTTAAATTATAGTCACGCAAATCCCTAGAGTAATCAAGGTGATTTAAATCAGTAAACACTGATTCTTGGTTCCCAAACAGCCACATATTGGTGCTGAAACCAAACCAGTTTTGCCACATGAGAATGGTCTCATTTGCAGTGAAAACACACAGACCTGAGATTAGACACTTTTTATGGAATTAGCATAACCACATTGCCAGTGGTAAAGGGTGATCAATGACCTTGAGAAGTCCCTGGAACAGTTGGAGAGGTGTGAAGACTACTTCAGTCAGAATTCACTTCCATACTGAGTGATTCATAGCTCTGCCAGAACACTGAGGGGTATGTCAAAGAGCGGCTTTTAGACTAACTTGTACTAAAGCCAATTTGGGAAACCTGGCCCTACAGTGCTAATGCTTTATAGCTTTTCTTTAAACATGATCGATTTTGCCCATTTTTTAAATGTAAAAGAGTAAATATGAAAACTTTTAGTCTGTACACTCATAGATACTGTGAATTGTTATGTGTTTGTTTTGTTAATTATTTATTTAAAATTATCCCTTTGTAGAAAGTTAAGTTGTTTTGGTCGTGCAGAGCTTGCAGATACTCATTTTCCACTTTTGGCGCTATTCCCGCTAAGTGTCTAAAAGCTGCACCCATAAAATTTACGGCTAGATTAACCACGGTTTCAGGAAGAGTGGCTGGTTTAGCTGCAGTGAAGCTTGGAATGGTTTCAAAACGTTTGCCACAGTAAGGGCAAAGCATTTTGTGAAACAGAAGAAAATAACTTAAATCATTCAACCGTTACATAACATCAACCGTTAGATAACAGCAGACGGAAAAAGCGTGGTTCCTTCTCTATTTGATAGTCAAACCCCGTGTCCAATCAGAAATGATGTGATGTTCAATAAGGACCTACTCTTTCCTTTTTGAGTTAATGTTGTGTTTTCGGTTTTGCTGTTGTGTGTTCAATTTCGCTGTTGTGTTTTTTTATTTGCATTTTTGGTTTGTTAAAATGTTTTGCAATTTAGGGCCAACATAGCACACTGCTAGCAGCTGAAAAATAGAAAAATGCCTACCTCTTGAAAGAGACCTATTTGGAGCTGCACCAAGAGGCACAGACAAGTGTTAAATGCATTGTACTGTATGTGCTATACCTTCTCTTGTTTTAACATCAGATTTATCTGTGCAAATTTATGACAAAAAGTTGTGGGAGTGGGTGGTCAGATACAAAGCTCATGGAGCAAACAGAGGTCATGTTCATTAACATGGGAGTGTATTGGGTGGTTCTCCATGACTTACTGTGCAATGCTGCATGATTTAATGTGTTCATTCGTTCATCCATCTTCAAGGACTGCTTCATCTTGGTCAGTGTCACAGTGTTTTAATTGCCTAATTTGTTTCTAGTTTGGGAAATAGAACTAACCAGATTTGTTAGAAAATATTGCAGGCAGTTGCAAATAAAAAAAAACTGCGGGAGTGGACGGCATTGGTCAGAATTTCTTCAGGACCAGACAGGAGTGGGATTTTAAAAACAGCCCCGTGCACACCTCTACTCTACACATTTACATTAAAGGTAATGAAGTAATCCAGCTGATAGCAGCAGGCTTATTGTATAATAATACACCCACTCCTGGCATTAGCAAAAGGAATCTACCAATTTTTTTGCTGCTAATGATTAAACACATTTTCTTGAGGAACTTTCTGAACTTCCTTGACATTCAAACAGCAGATCACTCCAACAAAAGTCAGAGGCTGATTAAACCGGCCAATGCTGTTGCCATGCCAATGTGCAATGTATGTACAGAAGAAACTGGACTGCTGTGTTAGTCAAGGGCACAGTTATGCCAGGTTCATTCCAGTGCATCTATGGAGAGGTAGTAAACACTGATTTAACTGCTATATTCTGGTCTTGATAGACTCATAAAATCAGCCAAGGCCTATGTAGTCCCCAGTCAGGTGGCAGTGATGGTACTTGACAGCATAACAGTAATTCATTTTGGCTTCTTCTGGAAACTTCAGAGTGACCAAGAAAGGAAGTCCTGAGTGGTGTCAAAACTGGGCATTCATGAAACCATCCCCAGAGCAACTGACTTGTAGAAAGAGTCCACACACCTAAGCTTTATAACTAATGTGCGTGACTGGCATGGTGGATTATGTTCAATGCAGTAAGGTACAATAAATATAAGACAAAATACAGTATATGCATTAAAGTGTTCATGCAAGCGTATAAGACAAACTGTACTAACCATGGGATGGTCAATCTCAAAGAGATACCAGAGGTAACTTACCAGTGATTGTAGTCTGGTTGCGGTTCTCTTGTTGACGTGTATGTTTGCATTGCTCCTGAGCCTTCATATGCTGAGCCACGAGGGTGCATACTGGATGGATTGCTTCCCCCTGGCAAAAGTGATTCATTATTACTATAAAGCTGACACACCATGTAAACTGTTTATTTTATCTCTCAAAAGACATGGGACATTCAGGTAATGTACAGCAAATTGTGTACAAGTATATGCTTAACCAGAGGTCGTCAACTGTTGGACCGCAGTCTGGATGCGGACACAGCAAAGTATTTCACCGGATAAAAATGAGAATTAAAAAAAATTATGGCAGAGCAGTTGTTGTTCAGTGACTCTAGTTTTTAAACATGAACCAGCTCAGCTTCTGTGACAGATTCTGTGTTGTAGCTTATCCAATAAAATGCATTTTGTGAGCAAAAAAGCAAGAATTTTTTAAATGTAACTGGACCTTCACAAATGTGAAGATAATGAGATAACTACTTTATAAACTAATTTAACTAAACAGAATTTACCCATCGCAAATGTCTGTAATAAACTCACACAACACCAAAAGATAATCTTCTGCAAGGAAATCCATAAACCTACTGCTATCTGCTTTACCCTTAATATCCATAATATGTATAACAGTTAATTAGATAAGGACAGAAAGGGAGAAAGTAAAAGAAAGACAGCGGGAGAGAATCAATTAGAATAAAAGGGATTAACACGGGTTGGCTTTCTCCCTATTCATGAGAAGGGGAACGAACAGCAATGTTCACCTCATCGCTGTATTAAAAAGCTTTGATGAGTCAGAGGTAGGTGAATGGTAATGGAAAAAATTGTGCCTGAGGTTAAAAAGAAACATGTAGCAAGTTTGGTGATCAATGTGCTGCGCCAAGTATTAAAGCAGAGAAGCAGAGTTCTCATCTCATGTCAATACCCCCGTTCACAGTATTTCTGATAAACGTTCTGGTAAACGTTTACTGATGGCATTACAAAGAAAGTAGACAGTCAGGACAGGGAACATGCTGCTCCAGTCTACAGCTAGTGGAAATCACCCAGGGCAGAAGGCTGTATGGGGAATCTGGATATGTATTTGAAAGTGAAAAACAGAGTGACTTCCTTGTGATGTCGTGTCCTTGAACAGATGGTAGAGCTGTAGGTAGCACTGACCTCAGACAGGGAAGAAGATTCCTGCAAAGGGTGTACATAAAGGTGAGGAAAGATTCATCTCCGTCATTCCTGGATTTAACAGCCACCTTGCCTGTTAATAAAGGAGTGTTCATGCATAAAACTAAGAGGGTCCCTGGAGGACTAGCGGTTTGACCTCGGCACTTTCGCCGCGGAGGCTCAGGTTCGATTCCCTGCCAGGGAACCGACCCCAGCCACTGGGGTTGCACACGAAAGTGCACTCCCAGTGCTGTTCCCAAGCCCGGATAAAATTGGGAAGGGTTGCGTCGGGAAGGGCATCCAGCATAAAAACTGTGCCAAATGAAATATGCGGATCAATGATCTGCTGTGGCAACCCCTAATGGGAGCAGAACAACTACATTCATGCATAAAACTAGCATTTAATAAGTCAGTTATATAATGAGCAACTGTGTCTCTGTCTTTTGGCAAAACTCATGATTTTGCATTGTGGTGGTTCAATGCTTGGTCAGCATGCATTATGCAAATTTTTAACATACAAAGCATTTGGGAATTCTTCAGAATCCTAGCAGCAGCTGTCTGTATCATTTACCTTCCTGGCTTCCTTCTGTCTTAGCATTATAATAACAGATGTCTGAATTGCTTATAGAATTATATGCTAAATTCAGTTTGTGTATAATCGTGCCTTCTTAATAGTGGAGCAATGGGTAGCATTGCCACCTCACAGCTCCACGGGTCCTGATTTGATCCTGAGCTTGGATTACTCGTGTTTTGCCTTTTTCTCCCTATGTCCGTGCAGGTTTCCTCTTCCTTCTCCAATTTGCTCCTACCACCCAAAAACATGCTGGTAGATGGTACTTTACTGAACAAATGAATGAATTGTGTCTTCTTTTCCATTCCTGTATTCACCGGTTGCAAGCTCAGACTTTTTTAAGTGCTTGAGAGAATGCGATGTCACCTTATAGCTTAAACAACCACCCCTGAAAATGGCAGTGGCATCAACAGTTAAAGTACTTAGAAGTATAAAGTAAGTAATTAAATCCACATTTGTCAAGCATTCCCTATCATTTTGTGCTGACAGTGCTGACTTTGTACAAACATTGTTTATCTACATGAAAGATGTTAAGGCATTGTCTGCATTTCCACAGAGACAGCTAATTTCTGAGTCTGAGGAGATGAACAGCTCCAAGTAGAATCTCTTAACATCATCTTGTAATTACCGTAATTCTGATGACATGAGTGCACTGTAAAATCTCAGAAAGCTACTTGCCACTAGGGTAATCTGCAAGAAATAAAACATGACTGGGCATATGGTTGAACGAAATAAAAGAGTGGTATGGTGCAGCCCTGATTATTTTCCAATAACTGAATGTCCCACAGATTTTAATACCATTTTATACCATTTAATACTCTTATACCATAATAATTCACTGATAATTAAAATTTCTTATACATCATACTTTATTAATTTATATTTATGTTTAATGCTGTGAAACGTCTGCAAAACAAATTAGTTCCTGTTATCACTTAAACAGCTATTCCCTCACTTTCTCTTGGAGATAAAAAGACAAAACCTTTTTGTCACGTTTGTCATGTTACCAAGAAACCACAAAATCGACCGTGCTTAGACTTTCCCTAACTGACTGTTACATAGCAACAGATATGGGGAGTCCTTTAAATTTGTTACATAAATGTCTCCATACAGAAATCTTCATTAGATTTCTGACAGCATGTTTTTTTTTTTTTTTTAACTTTTTCCCTAAGCTTAGATTATCATTCTTACAATACCCTGTGTGAGGTTTTACTATAGAACGATAATGTATTAGAATTAGTTTATTATTATAAAATTGTGATTTGCCTTGCAGCCGGTACTACTGTCAGAACTGCTGTTATAGAAAATGAATTGACACCTTTTAGCCAGTCAGATTTGAGGATTAATGAGAGCTGTGGTATAATATGCTATATTATATGTTTCAGTTCCAGCCTAGGTGGTTTTAGTGGAAATGAGACATTACGGCTTTACCAAATGAATTCCAGTGTAATTATATACTCATCATCCACTTTAAAAGGAACACCTGTACACCTGCTCATTTATGCAGTCATCCAAACAGCCAATCATGTGGCAGCAGCACAATGCTTAAAATCATGCACATACAGATCAAGAGCTTCAGTTACTGTTCACATCAAACATCAGAAACAAGAAAATGTGTGATCTCTGTGACTTTGATCGTGGCATGGTTGTTGTTGCCAGACAGGCTGGTCTGAGTATTTCAGAAACTTCTGATCTCCTGGGAATTTCACACACAACAGTCTCTAGAGTTTACACAGAGTAGTGTGAAAAAAAAATTGAGTGAGTGACAGTTCTGTGTGTGGAAAAGCCTTGTTGATAAGAGAGGAAAATGGCCAGATTGGTTCGAGGTGCTACGAAGGATATAGTAACTCATATAATCACTCTTTACAACTGTGGTGAGCAGAAAAGCATCTCAACATGCACAAAACATTGAACATTGAGGTGGATGGGCTACAACAGCAGAAGACCACATTAGGTTACAATCCTGTCAGCCAAGAACAGGAATCTGAGGCTATCATGGACACAGGCTCACCAAAACTGGACAGTTGAAGATTAGAAATAAAATCACCTGGTCTTTTTTCCAGTCTTCACCTGTCCAGTTTCGGTGATTCTGTGCCCATGTGAACATTAACTGAAGCTCTTGACCGGTATCTGCATGCTGTTAAGCATTGAGCTGCTGCCACAGTGTGATAACTGCATAAATGATTGTATTGTAAGCATTGTGCTGTTGCCACAATGTGATAACTGCATACAATTGTGATAACTGCATGAATGAGCAGGTGTATGAGTGTTCCTGTTAAAGTGGACAGTGAATGTATGTTTAATTTAATGTTTTGTGGCTTAGCACTGGACCACACAATGGGTCTACACAATCTTATCCAGAATGCAAACTAATGTGTGGCTCCTAGCCTGATTTCCTCTTGCTAAAAAAAATCGATTGGCCAGTCTTCTGGCCATTGACATTAAACATAGGAAGGAGTGAGACAAAGGAGAAAACTAATAGGCAGATAAGGATCCTGCTGCTGGTAAGACAATATATAGCAGCCTCAAGGCTGAGGCCTAGAAAAACATTATCATAGGAAATGAAGCACCATTCAGGAAAAACAATGGCAAGTCATTAGAGAGCTCACCAAGCAACAAATCACATTTCATTACAGCACTGATTTGTTTCTGTTTTTGGTGACGTATGGTAGTGAAGAATATTCCAGACAAATTTACAAAGGCAGGTTTGTCCCCTGCATTAGCTGGAGGTAGTAATTGGACATGACTGCTGAGTCTGTTTTGGAGAAGTATGATAATTCGAAAGTAAGGCTTGATTTTGGACTACAGGGTTGAACTAATTGGATAAAAGGAAATCAGTTTTCTCAGTTAATGTTAAATAGCCAGTATTCTTCTTCTTCTTTTTTTAAACTAGAAATGGTCATTTAAACAATATGCCAGGAGGGAAGAAACAACTAATTTCATTTATTAGAACAGCCGTCTCTCTTTAAATGATCATTTTAACATCTGAAGTAGCACAGGGTCAGGCTGTCCTCCACAGCATTTAGTGGCAAAGAGTCAGCATGAAGCTTTATTTAATTTTTTTTTCACTGTAGCAACATAATTCACATAATATGAATTTGCGTCTTTGCAGAGTTCAGGAAAACCATTAACTGGGGTAGATATTCAACATGCATGGCATGAGCAGCTCATGCATTTGATCCATGTAAATGTTCAATCATTTCTTAGTCTATCTTTTTCTATAACCTGTAAGACAAAGACTTACTTACTGAATTCACAGTTGAACATGTGGTCAATTGTTTGTACTCCAAACAAGCAAGTATATATATATATATATATGCGTGTGTGTGATTTGTATATCAATTCCTTTTTTTATAATGAGAGCCCTGAAGCCATATAATAAAAACTTGATTCTTGGACATTTTATTTAGAGACCTGTGTCCAGAGTAAGGAACAGCAGGAGTGTGTATAACTGTGTGTATAAAGGAGTGTCAAATTCAGTTCATTTAAACAACAGGCCTACAGAGATTTCTGTTATTCCCACTTCTAACACATCAGATTCATTAAACGAATGTGGGAGGCAAACAGTTAAATCACATTTTAAATCATGCTAAATCTTAAACTCTACAATGCTGTCAAATTCCAGTACTAGTTATAGTAATGCAAGAATTCAAATTTAACTCATGAAGAAAATTTAAGCTCCAGTACAGTGTCCCCACTGTGCTGCTGAGTGCTTTAATGGCACTATCTTTAGAAAAAAATATATTTCTGTTACCATTATACCAAGCTCTGCACACAAGGCGCTTAACCACTACTTGCATGTGCCAGTAGAACATAGAGCACAGCCATTGTCTGAAAAGGTCTCGTCGACAGTAAGCACAGAGGAACCACAGCCATCCTTTCTGTGTGATTTCCCGAGAGTCACATTAATGTAATGTGCATGCTTTGTAAGATTTGCCATTAACGGATTTGACAGTGCTAGGCACAAAAGGCAGACTTGCTGCTATTTTATGCTCATGACAGCAGGCATTCAGTATTAGGGTAGCATGCAATTTCATGGAATATACCTCAACGGGAGACAAAATGACAGAACAGACGGCTCAACAAAGGGCATGTTGCTCAGACCCACTGAGTCAGCATCCTGCAGTTTGTTGCCAGTGTACAGGCCAGCTGATCAAGATGATGATGTATTATCCGAAAGGAGACACCAACACATGTATTGTGGCATTTGTTTCCATTGAGGCCCGTTGCACCTGCTGGTGGTTTGGTGGAGTCCCTATTGAGGCATGTCTTTTTTTGGCCAGAAAAAGCATCATTAACAAATAATAAATAACAATCATTTCTCTGTATGTAAGGATAGGTTGTATGTGCTTGAATGGGAATTACACAGGCAGCCAGTGTAACTGTAAGATATAGCAATAATAAAGGTAATATGCTGTAATTATATTCATAAATACACCTATATGTGTTTAAAAAAGCAATATGGGGTTTAAAAGAAAGGATGTAATAAAAAATACCAAGGCTGCGATTGACAGGGGCACCTTCAAAATTCAGAGGTAAGAAATGGGTTTCAAGACCAATAAATCATAAAAAAAAAAAATTCCTTTTAAAATCAGAATGTTAATTAAGAAAGTTAGTAAGCTAAATTTTAAATC